TTCGTGCCGCAAACAAGTCACAGAGCAACTGTAATTAGGCGCTTATCGTACTGTAACTTCCGTTAAATCGCTGAGCTCCGCCATTGGTACGTGGGGGTGTACGTAGCTAAGAGGACGGGACTCGCCTCCTTCCTCTCGGCTCCTCGATCCATACGCCAGGGCATAACCCACGCTGCGTCTCTGCCCCCTTTCCCCGCTCTGCGTCTGTTTAGCTCTCTCGCTCTCTCACGCGCTCTTCTCCCTTTCTCCCCCCCCTCTCTCTCTCTCTCTCTCTCTCTCTCACGCTCTCTCTTGCCTGCGAGTCTGGGCGCTAGCCCACGGAAAAGAGCAGGGGGCCGACACCCACACAACGTTGTTTGGGGGTCAATTTTTTGCGGGGATGGAAATTGTCAGGCTTAGGTTTTGGCTTAGGCTTAGGCTTAAGCTTTGGCTTAAGCTTAAGCAGGTTTACACAAACAGGAAGTACCAGGTTTGGCTTCTCGAGGAGTCCCTTTCATAAGCCTAGCCCGCGAGCGAATTAGCTGAGTTGCCCGAGGGACTAATGCCGTTACCCCAGGCAAGCTAGCGGAGACGCTTGATCACACGAAAACACAAAGAGCAGCCCACACACAGGGTCTTCCCCCGACTTTTCGAGTGCGCGAAATGAGTAGCGGAACAAACAGCGTTGGGTCTGTATGTCTGTCATTCTCTCCCACTCTCTCTCTCTCTCTCTCTCTCTCTCTCTCTCGCCGTCCATCTCGGTATATATATTTGTGTGTTAGGCCGAGCGCCGCTCCTCCGCTCTTCTCAGGGGCCATTCTTTCGAATTTTTTGTTGGTGACTGCTCAAAACTCGAGGCCGAGAGAGAGCGAGAGTGAGAGCGGGAGAGAGAGAGAGAGAGTGAGAGAGAGAAAGAGACCCTCTGCGTCTCGGTGATGGTCAATATTTTGGGGAATGCCCCCGTCGGCTCCTTGCACCTGAAAATGATATGATTGCGGGGGGATTTTTTGGATTTTTGGGTCGGGAATACGCGGAGCTAGATCATCAAAATGGATCTGAAGGTCAAGCCCAAGCCAACGCCTAAGCCTAGGCCTAAGCCAAAGCTTAAGCATCAGGCTGAGCCTACCACAGCTAGCACGGTCCCTTTAATATCGTCTGTGTTTTGGTCTAGCCATCCCCGCATCGGGTCCGGGCCATTTGCCTCGCCGCAAAATGGGCTCTTTTTGTGAAGCGCCGGGCAGGGGGTGAACGATCGTCGACTTCCGCAGCCTAGTATTTTATATATGTATGCCTCTCTCTAGCTCCCGCTCTTTCTCTCGCTCTCTATCTCTCTCCCCAAAAAAATCGGCTCCTCGTTGACTTTCGGAAACCGGACCCTCGACCCCCGGGTGCGGACGGGGTGAGCTGAATTTTGAATTGCTACCAACGTCCGCGGACAAAATTGGCCCAAAAATGTGGGTTTTCAGCGCGGGGGACGCGGTTAGACTACATACTCCACGAAATGTTTAATCTCTGATCCCTCTGGGCGGCCAGGCGCTCGGATTTTATGTATTCTGCTGTACAAACGATCCCCTCGATTGGCGCGACATCCCGATCGGAATTTACGCCTATAAATGGGTGTCTGGGGCGAGAGAAAGAGAGAGAGAGGGAGAGCGAGAGAGATAAGCGAGACAGAGATAAGTAATACCGCTCTTAAATTACAAATGAACTTATTGAGAGCTAGTGCAGAATCAGCAAGGCAGGCTAGCAAAGATCATTCGGGGAAAGGCAAGCTGGTAGAGATATGGCGAGAATTTGCGAGGGACCCGATCTACCCGGTCGGATTCTCACACCGGAACCCCCGCAGGATTGGGTGCTTCTGCATAAATGTTTATTCTAGGTGCATTGCGTCTCTCTCTCTCTCTCTCTCTCTCTCTCTCTCTCTTCTCTCGTTCTCACTCCAGCATATTTGCCCGCCTAAGCGCTATCGTCCCCGGTTAATTTGCATGCGGGCGAGCCGTGCGAAAAATCGGTACTCGTCGTTGATAACGGGGTTACCGTGCCTGGCAAAATTCCGCTTATCCAGGGTAATCTCCGCTAGCCGGCCTCAACCCCAATTAAACGGAGGCTGACACCAGAAATTGCGCTCCTGCTACAGTAGTGCGGAGATAATGAGGGGATTACCCTGGATGGTGGGAGAAGTCAAATGGCTTTTCGGGGAGTGGGGGGGGGGGAGGGGATGCATCGCGAGATCGGATTAACATAAGGCGAGCTCCCATCGGCCTCCCATCGGCTAATTATAGCAAAGCCCCACGGGGGCAGACCACAAATAGCTCGAGGGCACATTTTCGGGCTCGCGTGCCGGAAACGGGATTCTGGAGAGGGGGATGAGGGAGGGCTTTGTACTTCTGGAGGGCATGCTAGCAGAGATTCTTTAGGAAAGGCGGGCAGACTTTCACTCGAAATGGGTCCAGGGATTTTTTTGGAAAACCACTGGCGAAAACGATGTGGTTTAACTACCTTTAGGGCAGGCTAGTAGAGATTTGTCGGGAAATCACTTGGAGGTCAACTGCAGGTTCCCCAGGCTCTCTCCCTCTCTCTCTCTCTCTCTCTCTCTCTCTCTCTCTCTCTCGCTCTATCTCCTCTCTCCCCACAATCAGTCCGATCATCGGCGTCGCCCTGTATATATTTATCTGTCTGTCCGTCTGTCTGTCCACACCGGCCAATCGTAGTAACAAACCCATCAATCGCCTATCCGCCCCGACCCGCTGTGTCTGTGTCTGCACTTTGGCTCGGCGACGTGCCCCCAGGGCACAGAAAGGATCAATGGAACAGAGAACTACTCAGGGTCTCACAGTCCTAAATAACCTCTGCTAGCCTGCCCTTTCCTAAAGGATCTCTGCTAGCCTGCCCAGTGGTCTCTGGTCAGCGAGTCAGTCCCGTATAGTTAGCCCGGGCACTCGAACCCTGATGTTTGCCGACTGGTTGGCCAGACTGGGGCGTGCCGGGACTCGGTCTAAAGGGATGGTGCCAGCCAGATAGGCTTAGGTTCAGGCTTATGCTTGGGCTTAGGCTTAGAAGCAGTTAACCCCGGACAAACTGTGAGATATTCAAATAAACCGACAAACTTCTGCGCAATTTTATGAGCCATTTACCCGGGCCTCCCTTTCCTTCAGGAAATGCCCGAAAGGCGTAAACAGCAGTCGAGCGAAGCCGAGCCAGGGGGGCTACGCGACGCTTCTATTTCCAGGGCGGGAGAGAGAGAGAGAAAGAGAGAGAGGCAACGTATGGCTAATGAGGGATACCCTCCTTTCCACCCTCCCAGGGGCGCTTTTGGTTATTCAATATATGGACTTTGGTCGTCAGCAGCGCAGCCGAGTGTACTTTTAGCAGGGAGCCCTCTTTTAAAGGGGACGGGAAGGCGGAAAGACGGCAAAATCCTGATGGAAAGCCAGCAGAGAGCCACAGGGAAATGTCGCGGCTCTGGCAGACTAGCAGGGATTATTTTGGAACCGCCTCGAGCCCCATCGATGAGGGTGCTTAATATTCATGGGAAACTAGCAGCGATCATTTGAGGATCCTCTCGTCCTGGCACGCTAGCAGAGACCATTGGGGATCCTTATCGCTCTGAAGTGCTAGCAGGGAACATTGTCCAATTTTCTTAACCTTGGAAAGCTAGTAGAAACTATGAGAATTCGAGCTAGCAGAGACGCATTAATCCGCGCAAAACCCTTCAAAAACCTCAAAATTCCAGAAGCTTAAGCCCCCCGCTTCTCCAAAAAATGGATGTGCTTGCACTATTCTGGGGGCTTTTCCCCTCAGGCACCCTTCCCCTCACAAAAATTCGATGCGGGCTGCGACAGAGTGGGGTCGGAAGAGAGGGAACAGTGAAATAGAGAGAGAGAGAGAGAGCGGGAGAGAGTGCAAAAATCGGCTCCCAAAAAATTATAACACACCCCGGGCGGCGGCTGAAATTAAACGGGGCCTGGAAAAAACGTCCTCGCAAAAATGAATTATTCGGCGAGACGCCCGTGTCTGGCTCATTTCGTAGGGAAATGAGGGCCTGTCTGAGGGGTGGCGGGTACGGTAGTTGGGGCACCGGATAGAAAATGGTTCGAGCAAGAATATTTTGCCAAGCTCCAAAAATGCTTGGTGGTTGCCAGAATGTTCAACATGGGCTTACGTTTAACAATGGCCAGATAGAGAGCAGAATATTTTTGATGGTTTAGCAGAAAAATGGTTAGGTGTAAGTAAGCCTAAGCCTAAACTTAAGCCTAAGCCTAAGTCTAAGCCTAAGCCGACCCCGGCCTAAGCCAAGCCAAGCCTAAGCATACGCCTATTCCTAAGATTAGACTAAATCCATCACTAAACTATTTTGGAAACGCTATGGATATTGACTTGCAGGTACCTTTAGCCCCGACAATTTCTTCTTTTTTTGTGTGCTTTTTTTCTTGTTATTGTGCCCTTGGTAGGGGTCGGGGTGGAGATGGGGGAGCGGCGTCCTTCGGAAAGTCGGGTAGAGTCTTTCTCTCTCTCCCTCCCTCCCTCTCTCTCTCTCTCTCTCTCTCTCTCTCTCTCTCTCTCTCTCCCTTTGCAACTCGGCCCGGCCCGCCGCATCGATCGGCCGGCTAGACTTGCCCAGGCGGGGGCAGTTTTTATGTGTGCGCCGTCCACACACACACTGACTTTCTAGGGGTCGGCGTGAAATTCTTCGGTTTCCGAAATAATCTCTGCCAGCATGCCCGGGATTGGGTAACGGGCAGAGGAAAATGAAGCATTTTTGAACAAGAGAATATGGACAAAAGTTAAAATCTAGGCCTAAGCCTAAGCCTAAGCCTAAACCTAAGCCTAACCTAAGCCTAAGCCGAAGCCATGCTTAAGCCCAAACCCGGAGGAGGCAAATTTAACAAAAGATAAATACAGAAAAATGTTAAATTGGATTAAAAAACTCCAAGAACCGGTTAAATTACTTTCTAAACTGAGAACGTTTATAAAATATAAAAATCCATCTTCAGGCGGCCTCCCGGCACCGCTGCTCTTTCATGGTCAACCTTTTTGAGCGCGAGTTCGAGGCGTGCGGCGGCGAGTTGGGGTGGTTGAAGGTAAGTTTCACTTTCCTTAGGAATCTCTGCTAGTTTACCTATGCAAATTTATCAATTTCAGGGCCTGGCGGCGTGCAGCCAGAAGCGGATGCAACATCTGGACGAGATGAACCGATTGCTCGCTCATCAGCCGTGGCTTTTTGTTGCTGAAGATATACGAGTCAGTTTCTAACACCACTTCGTTATTTGTCAGTCTCAAATCGCCGCTACTGGACTGCCATTTCCTAAAGAATATCTGCCAGCCTGTCCTTTCCCTAAAGATCTTTGCTCACCTGAAAACCACTTCCCGGCCGACCGCCCGATTCGTCCCAGACACTGCTTTTTTCGTTTCCTCCCCTTTTACACTGCCACTAATCAGAAATTATAATAAGGGCCGCGACGGCAGCTGCCCACTGCTTTTTTTGGGCGGCTGAATTTTTGAGACGACGCCACGGTTGGGAGACAAAACACACCGTCGTATTTGATCCCTTTGAAGGGACTTTCCCCAAAACCTAGGCCAATTTAAGCCTACTCTAAGCCTAAGCCCCAAAACCTAAGCCTAAGCCAAGCCAGAACCCTAGCCAAAACCTAAACAGGGGACCCAAGCCCAAGCCTAACTACCCTCGCCCAACCCCAACCCCCCCTCAAATTTTTGCTTAGGTTTCAGCTTCACCCGATTCCAGCTTCTCATGGGCCCCGATGACCGGCTGGTTATGTGACCCCCTAGGGGCCCAGCGGTGCCCGGGCCGAAAAAATGGCGGCCGCCAGCCGACAGGTGGTGTCGTGAGAGGCGTCCTGCCAAAATGTGCCCCCGTTTTCGATGGCGGCCCGTGTGAAAAAGCATCAATTTCACCCTGGTTGCCCACACCTCGGGGGCCCCTGACGAAACGGGCAACGGGAGGGGGCGCAAATTAATGGGCCGTGAAGCGTGGAAATTGAGCAAGGGGTGATCTACGTGGGTTTGGAAGAAGCCTAAGCCTAAGCCTAAGCCTAAGGGCATAAAATCGATCATTGATCTCTCGCGCACACGATCCAACCCGCAGATTGCGCCCCGACACCCTCCGAGTCGCCGGTGCGTGGGAAAATCGGTAATAAGGGGCACGCCTTGCACGCACTTCCCGGTGACGATGCACTTTTGACAAATTACGCAACCCGAACGAGGCGTACAGTGGCGTACTGGCCAGCCTTCAGGCTCAAGCTTAAACTTAGGCTTAGGCTTCGCTTTGACTTGGTCTTAGGCCTAAGCCAGGCAAAAAACCTTTGCGACGTTCCCGAGCTGGCCAAGAGCCAAACAGTCACTTTCCCCAGATGCGCTGGCCTCTTGTTTTGCCCTCACCACCTGGCCGGGGCGCATTTCGAATTTGCAAACACCGATCGGGGAATCGCTTGTTGTTATTTTGGTCCCGGCAAGAGTGTGCGTGCACTACGGGCAGCTCGCCCCGAACGGGCGCGCGGGTCAAAACAAAATTTCGACTTTCCGGAAATTTGAGGGGGGATCTTCAAAGACCTCTGCCCGATTGCTATAGCGAGATGGCGAGAGAGGGAAAGAGAGAGAAAGAGAGAGAGAGAGAGCGACTGTTAATTTGATCGGGCTGAGCCCCCTCCGGCGCCGATCGTGATCTGTTTTGTGACGGAATAGGGGGCCAGCCAACCTATTTGTTTTCTCGCCCCACACCGGCGCACCTTATATCAAATAGCGCGATCCTAGGCTAGAAGTGCGGGCGGGGGCGCGGGGGGGGGAAGAAGCTTGGCTAACAGTTCGCATCACAGAGAGAGAGAGAGAGAGAGAGAGAGAGAGAGAGAGAGAGAGAGAACTATCAAAGTGGGCTAGAAGATTTTGGTTAGGCTTAGGCTGCACCTGATTTTCCAAATTTCCAGATTTTCCAAATCACACTCGGATTTATCGAAATACCGTATCCCTAGCTGCTTTTCCGCAAAATCCCCATCAATCCACGCGGGCAATGCATGTAGATTTATTCCTATTTGGCGCGCGGGTAAAAACAGTGCTCTTTGTGCATAGAGAGACGACAAAATTGGCAGTATCGCCCTCTCTTCCTTGTTCTCTCTTTCTCTCGCTCGCTCTCTATGTACTGTACTATCGTACAGTCGCGTACTCAACACGCGAAGATTGATGGCGCGACGCTCCCCTCCGGAAAAAGGGGCCAATTTTCTGGCCAGCGCGAAAGAGAGCGAGCCAGAGAGAGAGAGCAAGAGCCCGTGCTCAATTTCTTGGCCTTTTTTTGCCATCAGCCGGGGCCATAAACCCGAAAATGCACTCGCCCGCCGTGCCTGTAAAAAGCGCAAAACCAGTCCGATCGCCCCGAAATCGGACGCGTGCATCTGAACGCTTTTTTGGGCGTTGAAAAATCGTAAAGTATGCGAAATCGGAGGCACTGGAAATTGAGGAAGGGGTTTGAGGGAAATATAATAGAAAAGCGTCATTAATGCGCCGGTTCGGGTGGATTTTCCAACCTTTTGGGTCCTTTAAAGGGATATGGGCGCGTTTTTTATTTCGGCGAAAATTAGAAGGTCGAAATTTGATAACGGCACACCTCAACGTTGTTTTCAGAAACTCACCTCCACCGACACCGGGCTACATTTCTCGATCCAGGAGGTAAGGAAAACAGCTGCCGGAATCGGCTCCGCGGCAAGCGAGCGGAGAATCTTTGAGGAACCCTTCGGCGCACTAATGATAGATCCACGTTTCAGCTAGTTCACGTGGCCATCGTGATGGCGCACACGCACGCGCTGTGCTCCTTCGCTGAAGCATTTGGGGCGGTGCCGGTCGAGATTTCGAGGTGAGTAGATATCAAGAGTGTAGGCCAACTACAAGCCTAACAAGGGAACCACCTAAGGTCGAGGTGGCGTTTCGTTATGGGACCCAGCCCATTTGGCAGAATTTTTGCTGTCCGAACCCCTTCAATTTTCCAAATAGCCCGATTTAAAAGTTACGGCAATTTTAAGATCATATTTGAGCCCGGGGCGGTCATCTGTCGATGCCCAACTTTTGTTTTAATATGCCAATCCATTTTAAATAGCCTATCTTGTAGAGAATTTTTTTCTGATTCGAATGGTATATTTAATTACTGCGCTACTGCCTATCGATGATCACTTATGGGAGTGTGAAATAGCCTGTTTTTCACCATTTCCCATACAAAAAACGAAGTCCATACCAAGTATCGTCGATTTTTTCGATTTCCAACAATTTTGAGTTAAATAGCTCATTCGATAGAGAAAAATTTTCTTAATACGATGGCAATATTCGTTTTTGATAAATCAGCAGGGAAACGCAAAATAAATGGCTTTGAAGTTGACAAATTTGGGAAAAAATGGAACTTTGAAGCGCTATAACTTTTTAAAACGAGCTATTTGGCAAAAATGAGCAGCGGATTCGGAATCAGCGAAAAATTCTGCACAAAATGGGCTGGGTCCCATAACGAAACGCCACCTCGACCTCGGGTGGTTCCCTTGTAAGCTTAAGTCCATGCCTCGTCCCTAGCCTAAGCCTAAGCCTAAACATGAGTTTATGCCCAAGCTTCAACTTTAGTCCAATTTTCAGCTGTGAACGCCAATCGATGGCGGTCCGCTGCGAGTGGGTGGCGCGCGACAAGGAGAACACCGGGGTTGCTCGCCGAAAGTAGGTTTTTGCCTTTTTACAAAGCCCAGCGGTGGCAGATTAGCAAGGCTGCTTTGAGAAGAAATTTCCCATGAAAATGATTTTCCTTGAAATTCAAAATTTCAGAGGCGAAGTGGAGGACCTGTTGAAGAGGATGAATCGACTGCGCGCCGCCGTCACCGAGGAGTCCGACCGGTCGGATGAGCGGGCTTTCGAGCGCATCCACGAGCAACCGGGTACGGTAGCGGGAGGACACTTTGGGAAAAGCTCTAGAATTTGAAAAATGACATGGGGTAGAAGAAGATACACGAGGCTTAAGCTTAGGTTTTTGGAGATCATTCCCCGGGCGAAATGGTAGATCAACCTGTTAAAATGCCTTGAGGGCACAGCCCATCGTGAAGCCCATAAAATGGGGTTGAGTGATGGCCCGGAGAGGGAGGCTAGTCCAAACTATAGTTAGTGTAAGGGGGAGACACCCGGAAGTCTAATTAATGTCCCGCGGGAACCTACGATAACTAGCAGAGATCCTGTAGGAACGCGCAGGCAAGCAGAGACGCTTTAGGAGCCTGGAAGAGTGTGCGAGAGATGAAGAGAGACCCAACGCAAGCCCAACGAATCTCTGCTAGCCTGCCTCCCAGAATTGCCCCACCTTCACCTCCCGCTTCCACTTTTTGTCCTTTTTGGGAGACACCCAAAAACTTCCAACTGCAGTCGGACGGACGCCTGGGGATGGAATCGCAACATTTTATCGCCCCCGTTTTATGGCTGGCTGGCTGCTTTTTGGGGGGTGAGGGCTGAAAAAAGCCAGCAAAAAAGCGGGAGACCCGAAAAAGACGGAACGCTGAGATAACGAGGCGCGTCTTGGCCCCGGACAGCCAACGCGGGCATTGGAGAGTGCAACTGGTAGGGGTCGTTGCGAAGGAGGATAGTTGGCAACGGCTTTTAAAAGAGGCCTAAGCCTAAGTCTAAGCTTAAGGCCAAGCCTAAGCCTAAGCCTAGGCCCGTGCCGAATCCTAAGTCTAAGCATGACCAAATCAACTTTCTTTTCCACCTCTCGGCTCTTCCGAAACATGCACTTCTGCGTGCGAGTGTCAGCTCAAAAATGCATTTCAATCGGATGTCGTCCCGGAGCGAGAGAGAGAGAGAGAGAGAGAGAAAGAGAGAGAGAGAGAGAGAGAGAGAGAGACTACCAACTAGACTACCCCCGGCTACGTGCCGGTCGCAACAAAAATTCCCCTTTTTACGCGTTGACGCCGTAGCCCGGGGCCCCTCCGACAAATTGGTTCTCTTGCTCAAAAGAAGCGGAATAATTGGCTTTTTTCTGAAGGGGGAAACTGAGAAAGGGGAGGGGGAGCGTCACGAAAATGGACGCGACAACCCGGGGATTATCCGATTATGCTAATTTTTTGGACTTCTGGAGGGATTTGAGCTGTAGGCTAAAGGGGTCGACACGAAAAGGATGTTTGCTGGCTTGTCAGGGCCGTTAGAATTCCTAAAGATTATGTGCTAGTACTCCGTTTTCCGCAAAGGTCTTTCCTCCCTTCCCTGACTTTCAGGTTTCCTCAAGGATTCTTGCTAGTCGGCCCAGGCCTTGGGTATTCAGCAATGATCCCCTGATAGCCTGTCTTGATCCTGCGATTTCCTCAAAGCTTTCCTGCCTTTCATTTTTCAGCTATCGCACCCTTTTTTCCTCAATGATATCTGCTAGCCCCCCCTTCAAGTGACCCCTAGGGGCCAAAGAGCACCTCCTGGGGGTCCCAGTGGCCCACAAATCACGGTGATCAGAGGGATGTTCTAGTGGCCATGGTGGGGCCAACGGAGGGCCCACGGGGTTCGGCCCCATTTATCACCGACTTGTTTTGCGGCCCGGGCCCCAAGGATGGCCGCCGGGCCCCCCAACCTCTCGCCCGAAAACCGCAACCATCTATCAGGGACCCAGACTACTGGCTATTGGCTGGCTACCCGGCTGTATAAAGTTTATATTAAAGGGGTCGGCTTTGAATTTCTAGGTTCTTTGCTATTATCGGGGACGGGGTAAGCCTAAGCCCAAGCCTAAGCCTCAGCCCAGTCTTAACCTAAGCTTAAGCAAAACTACAAGCTACGCGACGCTCCAGCTACCGTATTTGAGAGTAGTAGTGTGCCGGAGCCATGCCCAGAAAACAAATCAATAAAATTTGTTGGATGGGGTTGAAGAGAGAGAGACCGAGAGAGGGAGAGAGAGACGTGCCGAGACGCTGGCGGCCCCGTTCCGCGCCATAAATCTCGGCGTCGCACCCGGCGGCGCTGCTCAAAGGAGGCACCGTAAGGGATACGCCGGACACATCGCAACACACACACGCTCTCTCTTTTGCTCTCTACCTCTCTCTCTCTCCATGGAATCTTGAAGAATCTTCAGAGCCTCTGGAAAGTGCAAAGGTGCCCCGGGGCGAAACGGCGAAACAGAGCGGGGGTTTTCTAATTTTAAAGCGACAATGAAGTCGCTGTCACCATCCCTTGAAGCATATAGGTTTACGAATCCCAACTAATTTGCATTTTTCAGAAGACGGCAACGGAGGCGACTCGCCGACGACGGCTGGTGACGGATCGCTGTTGCAGAGTTTTCAAAGGTCCTGAAAGCGAGAGAGAGAGAGCGAGAGAGATAGAGAGAGCCAGAGCGAGAGAGAGACAGACGGAGAGAGAGCAAACCCTCTCTGAAAAGCTCCGCTAAACCGTTCGTTCCAGGTTCACCAACAACCTCGCCTTCACCTACGTCGACTTCTACACGTCGACCCGTAACGACACCACCAAGACGTTCAACCTACACGTAAGCTCGACCTCGAAAATTCAGGAATGCAAATTTTCAGGAGTTCTCCTGGGATCAGCACGGATATATGATTCTCGAGGAGCAGTACCAGGAGCTGATCGCCAAGCTGGACGACAAGTTCAACCTCACGCAGACGCTCACCTATAAAACGTAAGTAGTAGATTTTTAGGAGGGTGACGGCTAGCAGAGATCCTTTAGGAAAATTTGATTTTCCGACTCCTTTCCGAACTTGCTTTCAATTTCCGATTCCAGTATGGGCGAGTACACCGACGTCGACACGTCCTCCTACCGTATGGCGGTGTGGAACTACATCCAGGCCCTCTTCGGCATCCGCCACGACGACTACGACTACTCTGAGGTTAGTCCGAAATTCAGAATGCCGAAATTTCCCAAAATATTTTCTCACCGGATTTTTAGGTAAACACGATGCTGTCGAAGGAGATGAAGACGTTCATCAAGACCGTCGCGTGCTACCCGCATCGCGTCACGGAGGCGTTGCGCACGAGCGTGATGACTGATTTCAAGAACTCGGAGAAGGTGCGTGATTTATTTATTCGTGTTTTCAGGCCTATAGAACCTCGGCTAGCCTGTCCTTCCCCCAAGGAATTTCCGCTAGCCTGCCCGCCCCAAAAAACCGTCGAATTTTTCCAGGTGCACGTGATGCTCATGGTGATGGAGGCGCGTCTCCAGTCCGAGTTGCTGTACTTCACGAGGACGCTGACCAACTACGACCGGCTGGAGCGGACCATGCTTTGCTAACCGTGCGGCCCCCTAGGCTATTCAAATTGCGACCCCATTCTTTCGATATTTTTGTATAAACTTGGATGGTCGGGGCTCTGTGGCGAGCGCTGCGGGACCCCAGCCATTTGGAAGTCGGGTAGCAGGAGGCCAGGGAGAAGGCTTATGTCTATGCTTATGTTTAGACTTGGGCTTAGGCTTAGGCTTAAGCTTAGGTTTAGGCTTACGCCTAAAAAGCTAAAACCCGACTTCCGCCCACCCGCAAGCCCCCTTTAAAAAGCTAGTGTTTTCTCTCCGTTGTTAGCCCTGCCCACCCCACGGGCGTTACGGTAGCGCCGAGATGTGCTTGTTTTTGTATGTTATTTTTTTTGGGGTTTTGGCAGGGGAAGGACTTCAACGGCCCTTCAAAATTGGCCACCTGGAAATTTTGCACCCAGACCGGCCGTGTCGAAAGAGCAAAAAATTCTGGACCAACGGTGGTGCTCAAAAATTTGACAGCGAGTACGTAATTCTAAAAAAAGCGTATTTTTTGCGTTTTTCTTGGCTACAAAAAACTGTCAAAGAACATTTTTAATCCCAAATTTTCGCCACTACCGTAACCCAGGGTAAACCAGAATTTAAGTCAGAATTTTCCGCTTTTTGCGGTCGGCTACAGTACCCCAAATTCACCCCCTGCCAAGACTACCGTAGCTCCCCGATTTTTTTTGTTGCCCCGCCGTGGAATTCGTAATTGGCAATTGGTCAATTTCCTAGCGTGACGTATTGCCTATGCGCGGCGCGGGCAGTTGTAGTCTTTATTTTCCAATTGTATGCACCCCGAATGAGACACCGACACCACCATCACCCCCCGTCTACTGTATGCACCCGGAATTTGTCATTTTTTAGCGTTTTTTGGGCGGCCCGACCGGGGCGTGGTACGGTAGTTGACGCATCGATCCTAAAGCAACCAGGAAATCGTCTCAAAGGCCCCTTGAAAGTTTTCAAATAGCTAGAAAATTGCTTGAATGCAAAAATTTACATATTCGAATTTGAATTTTTAAAATGGCATCTTTTTAATGCTAGCAACGTTACAAAATTGCGCAGGCTCGATCCAGATGCAAATTGGTTAAGGCTGCCTTTACCGTACCCTTCCCCGAGGCGGGCCCCGCCACTTTTCCAAGGCCCTTCCCCCTATTTTTGTGGTATTCGTCAAGTTCAAAAGACCCAGGCTTCGAAAAACGTGTTCCCGCAAAAATCTTATTTCCACTCCGTATTAACGGGATTGGCAAGGAAGAATCCATAAGAGCGGCTGCCTTCCACGACCCTTGAAAAGGAGACGGTAGCTAAGCCAAGCCTAAGCCTAAGCCTAAGCCGAAGCTGAAGCCGAAGCTCCCAGCCACTACAGCCCCTTTTAAATGATCGACGAAGTCAGACAGTACTACGGATTCTGCCTTGCCGGCCCCTTTAAACTTTGCCGAAATCGAAATCTCCCCCGTACCATGTTTTTTCTGGGTTCATCTTGGGTGCCCCTTTAAGTTCTAGCCCCGTCCCCCATTTTTAATGCCAACTATTGTTTTTTTGTTTGTATCCGCTTATTTATTGGAAACGGCAACGGGCAGGTTAAAGCGACGAGTTGGCCAAGTTGACATTTTAAAGGGCCGGTGAAGCCAAAATTCAATCGGTTTTCATAATCGAATCTCCGCGAAAAACAGCCCGTTTCCGTTTCCGCGCCGCTGCCCCGTACCGTACTGGTCGTCGATTCTCCTATTTAATACGGTCCTCAAAAACTGAAAAAATACTTGAAAATTGTCGGGGGCGTGGCGTGGAGGTCAGTTGTTCATGCTTAGGCTTAGGCCTAGGCGTACGCTTAGGCTTAGACAGCTGGAAAATCCTCAATTCGGCCTCACCCCACGCCCCAGGCCATTTGCCCAAAAAAATCGCCGTCGTGCTTGTCTTCCACCTGTGGCCCCGTGCCGTTTTGATCGTTAGTCCGCCCTTTCCTGGTGTTTGTCCAATCCAGTGGGTTTTCTTTAATCCTTCTTGAAGTCCCATTTAAAATCCAACTCCGGAGGAGTGTTCAGCTTCCGAAATTCAGTTTGCTAACAGCAAAAAGTTTCCTGATCTTGGTTCAGGCTCAGGCTTAGGACAAAGCTTAAGCTGTCAGTTAGCTACTTTGAACTTTTGCGAAAGTTGAAGATCTCCTTCAAACATTACCTAGTATCAACCAGACGTTCGCTCGCGTGTACTACCCCCCAAAAAATTCTCGTCCGCCCCGAAGTCGATGCAAATTGTGCAGCCACCCCAGCGATACTGTGAGAATAATAAATGCTTCTGAAATTTACAAGAAAAAGGCAGCATATTCGACAAAGCGACGCATTCAAGGGAAGGAACAGAGATTTTAGGAAAGGGTAAGCTAACAGAGATTCTTACAAGGGTCTCGTACAGGCTATTCAGATCTTAAGATTTATTTAAATGGTATAGTTCTCATTTCGTCGCCCTACACCGCCACTTCCGTCAAGTTCTGGGCGGACAGGGTGCGAGGTCCACGAGCGCTGAAAATATGTAGGAATTAATGGATAAGGAAAAGCGGAAGCCTAAAAAGCATAAGCTTAAACCTAAGCAAGCCCCAATCAAAAAAGTTCCTTTAAACGCCCTACCTGTTTTCCCGGGTATCCAGATGATAGCTATCTTCGCGTCGGGCTTCCTAAATAGGCAGTTAAGTCTAATACGCGTATTCCCTACCCTAACAAGGAGTGGTTTTTAAGTGACACTGCAATTTTGCACTGTGTTTCAGAGTTTCTAAATTTACATAAACCCGGTAAACCCAGTATTCCCGGTAAACCCCCAAATCCTAGGCAAAAAATTCGACATTGTGAATTTCGACATTATGAAATTTCGACATTATGAGGCTTCGACATTATGACATATCGACATTGTGAAATGCCGACACTATGAAATTTCGATATTGTGAAATTTCGACATTCTGAAACATCGACACTATGAAATGTCGACGTTATGATTTTCGACATTATGCTAGCAAATCGGTAAAGTAGACCCTAGCCGAAATTCGTTCGCTGGAACGAGTTTTGCGGCCATTTTTACATTTGCGCAGTTCAATCGATCTAACGGCCCGCCGCTTCAAGTTTCTGGCTTTAAATTTATAGGCGGGATAGCTGATGACGTTCCGGATCCGTGGAAATTTTCAAAAAAATCGAACGAAATACAGCCATTTTAGGGGCTCTACCAGATCTCCCGACCCCGAAACCCCCCCGGGGGGGGTATTTAGAAAGTGGGCCCCCCCCTGCCCCACCGGGGCGGTTGATGAGGGGTACGGCATCCCGGAATCAGGAGACTATTCCAGGTCCTTTCTTCTACCCAAAGGAAGGGATGCGCCGCTCATCTATGTCCCACAACAGCAGCTGGCTTGTCCCGACCTATGCGTAGGGGTGCGTATCCGGTCGGGCGGGCGTAAGCTGTGTAAGGCGCTCCGGTACGGCCGTTCTCACGGTCGGGAACTCTTCTGTCCGATTCTCAGACCACCCACCCTTGAGGTGACGTGCGAGGGATAGGACAGGCCGGTGATGCAAGGTAAGCTGTACCAGTCGTCTCCTGTGGCCACGGGAACTTCACGAGTCAGCAAGGCGGGCGTGAATAGAGTTTTGCTTTTTCTAGACCAGTTTTTTGTGCTGGATCCGAATTTTGGGTCCGTTTAGTGTGGGTAGCTATCATTTTTGCGATACCGGCCCCCAACCGACCTACATAGCTGTGAAGTATACCCAGGCCCGTACGGGAGCCGAGATTTCGGGGATTTGCGCACCGACCCAAAAAAATTTTGGCGACCCGTGCCCCCCTGCTTGTGAGTTACCGTATACCTGTGCCAACTCGCTGGCAGTCCGCGGACGCTCTGCCGGCATAGGACTGACCCCGCGTTTCAGCATTGAGGGAGACGCCTGGAATTTCCTGCATGCTTTCTGCTAGCCGGCCCTCCCCCAAGAATCCACGCTGGCCTGCCCACCTGACTATTCGCTCCGATGTTCCCGCCATCCGACGTCTTGTTCGAGCGCCGCCGAAACAGGGAGAAGCAGTTCAGGAAGGCGCGGCTGACACAAATTTTTGGTGTTCGTCCGACTGGGCTAACCGATAGGATTTGAGGCAGCATATTGTGGCCACGGCGTCAATGGTTGGGCTCCATGACATGGCGTAGTGGACGATGTTCATCGTCGCCCAGCCGCGGCCTGAAAACAAAAATTTATGCACTTGCCAAAAAATCCCTGCCAGCTTGCCCTGTTCCTAATGAATCCCTTCCGGTCTGCCCTTTCCCCAAGGAAATCTGTTAGCCGCGATAAGCACCCTACCCGGTTTCTCCATACTCGGGCTGTCGACGATCAACGTCAGCGAGAAGAGCGGCAGGTAGGTGAGCAGCGGGGCTAGTGACTGAAAAGCCTTTTAAGGGAGTCATAAATGCATTAAACTTGAATGATGATGGCAAGGAGGATGCTTCTTTGCCTCTGGATGACTTGCTGAGAGACGGAGCCTCGGATGGAGCTCTGACTCGAGCGGACGAAGAGCAGCAGCTTGATCACGCAAAACTGGAATGTTGGGAACTAGAATCTTGTTAGCCTAAGTCTAAGCCTAAGCGTAAGCCTGCGCCGAAGCCGAAGCCTAAGCCTAAGCGAAGCCCAAGCCTAAGCCTAATCCTATCAGCTAGCTTCAAACCACCCACCGTTGCGATCGAGTACGATACCACCGGATAGCTCAGCAGGCTTAATGTCGAGATCCAATCGCCAATTTGCACAAAATTCGCGCTCAACGAGCATAGGGAGTTCGAGTTGGCGTAGTCGAGCCTGAAGACGTGAACGACGAGCTCGAGGAGTTCAGTGATCACCAGCGCCACTCTTAAAAGAATGCCCACCACTCCAATTCATCAGCATAAACGGTATAGACGTCGCGAAGAGTTGTGATGCCGAAAGCTCGGGCGATGTAGTAGATCAACATTGGGATCAAGTTCGGGAAGAAGGCTGAGATGGATCTCGCTCTTGCACTATATATCTCTTTATCTCTCTCGCGCTCTCTCTCTCTCTAGTTCTCTCTCCACTCACCTATCAACACCCATGCCTTTCCTGAAAATCGTTTCTGCTTCCAGACGACGTGCACGAATCGATTGAGCGGCACGATGCAAATCGACAACAAATTTGCCTGCGTCTGCCTCAAATAAACGGCGTTGAACACGACGGAACACGTGTCTGAATCCTCATTTTAAGATCAGAAGACTGAAATAAAGTCTGTGCGGCACGAAGTAGCACAAAATCAACTCCTACCATCCGACACGAACGTCATCAACGGGTTGGCCGTCGTCACCAGCGAGTACTCGTAGGCCGAGTTGTGTTTGAGCACGTTTGGCATCACCATCAAAAGGCCGGTGGACAGAATACAGTTGGAGAGGGAACAGCCGAAGAATACCCACTTGTACTCGCCCCTGGCAAGATGAAGATTTAGCACAAATTGCCTCCCAGCTGCCGTTCCCCAAAGAGTTTTTGCTAGCATGTCCTTTCGTCAAAAAATGTCTAATAGTCTGCCATTTTTTATAAAAATTTATTTAGTCTGTGGGTCCTAAAGAAACTCTGCTAGCCTGCCCCCTCTCACCTTGTAGCCGGCCTCCAGCTGACCCACAAAACGAATCCGTTCAGCAATAACGACAGCGCGCACGTCAACAAGTAGTACACGAAGGAGAATACTTCCATCATGTTTAGAATTAGGCTTAGGCTTATGCCCAGGTCAGCCAACACAGCCAATATTCCGGCCCCAGAAACTGGTCGGCTATAATGGGCAGATGAGGCCAAGGGGGCAGAATGCGTCAAATGGGGGGCATTAGAAGAGGTGGGAATTGAGGGGCATAGAAGCGGCCCGAAAAGGCTGTAATTAGTGGAGCCAGGCGGAATCTCGGGCGCTTCGCACTTTTTGCTCGCCGGGTTTTTTTTACGGGGCGCCTGGGAAATCGCGGGAGGGGCAACCTAGCCAGCGCCGATTCTGTGGCGTATTTTTAAGCCTGGGGCTTCGTGTTATGGTTTTTTGAGTGTTCTCCCACGGCTTGACGTCTGTGACTTTGCAGTGGCACCAAACTGAAAGTGTAAAGTCCATCACATTTGTTGGAAGAGAAGGGGTAGCAGTGCTTCGTTGGGAAAGGGCAGGCTAGCAGAGATTCTTGAGGAAAGGGTAGGCTAGCAGAGATTATTTAGGAAAGGACAGGTGGGACCGCTTCATAAACGAATAAAATAAAGCCTTTATTATTGCGACAAAGGTCAGACTACAAACTACAAATTGGCGGCGGTCTTGCAGACGAACGTCGGGAACACCTCTTGGTCTCGCTCGAACGGACTATAAAATACGGGGGTTAGGCTGTGCTTTTGCCTCACTTGGTCGACCATTTTCCATTGGCACAGAAGTAGCACGTCTCCGGGTAGCTGGACATCTGCAAGGAGGTCAGGAATGGGTTTGGACGGGAAGGTAAAACCCATACTCTAAGCCTAAGCCTAAGCCTAACCATAACGCTAACCCTAACCCCAGCCCAAGCCCACCAAAATCGTGTTCCCATTCGGGCCGCTGCCCGCCGGCCCGCACAGTTCTTTGGTGTAGTCTGTAGTCGAGTTGTCGGCCCACCACTCCACTTTATTCGCTGAAAAACGGGTCTTTCCTCAAGAAACTCTACGGGTCTGTGTCAAACCAGCAAACCCACTTTTCACATCGATTTGTCCGCCCAGAATCGTCGTCCCGCGAAAATAGTTGTTTTCCGACCGTTCACAGGAGTCATCGTAAGTCAGGTCTAAAAGCCAGGCTCTTTAAAGGGGCGGTGACAACAAGAAAACCCTCAACACCCCCCTACCTTTGATGAAGTCATTCTCGGCATCGCTATGCACCGAGGCCAAATGGCCATTGAAAGAGTTGCAGAATTCCTCCGCGTCGTTGTACGTCTTATCGTAGCCGACACCGTAGCACATCTTCGTGTCGTTATTCAGGTGCCAGCCGGTGGGACAGGTGCCTGAAAAAATTGTCTAAAGCAAGGCTAAGCACGACCATAGGCATACTCCTATGCCTAAGCCGCTTAAGCCTAAGCCTGAGCCTAAAAGCCTTACTCCACCAAGTTGAGTCAGCCTGAATAACTTAAAAAACATACTCATATCCTTGCCAGTAGTCGTCCACGGTGTCGTAATAGCGTATTCTAAGTTCCATATCGGACATTCCAAAGAAAACTACTTGAAAAAGTGCAGATAAACGGATACGCGACGCTGCAATCCACCGTACGCCACGCCATCTCGGCCACGTCGAGCACCACGCAATTCGCGGTGCCGGGTTGGCCTGCAAAATCGGACTTACCGTAGTCAGAATGGTACGTTAAAGAGGCGCAAGTGTGTCCTAGACGAACCCGATGCCCACTTGAAGTAGTTGACTGAATAAGTGTCGGCCCACGTCCAATCCTTATTCGTGGCGTTCCGGAAGAGTCCGATGTACGCCTGGCCCCCCTTTAGGTCTAGAAAAAGATCCGATGAATCAAAACTAAGCCTAAGTCGATGCATAAAGCTAAGCCTAAGCATACGTCTAAACCTAAGCCTAAGCCTAAGCCTAAGCCTCTAAAACGGAACGTAAGCCTAAGCCTAAGCCTAAACGTACCTCGCATCGCATAGCTGGACACGACCGAGATTTCAAAGGCACTTTTTAGCGACACCAAGTGACCGTGGTACTCGTTGCAAATGTGTTCCGCGCCGTCCCAGCCGATTGCTAAAATTGGTTCCTGAAGAATCTCTGCTAGCTGCTTTCAAAATTGAAAAAACGCGTTCGGTACCCACCAACATCATCGAACAGCACGCACTCGTCGAGCCCATCAACATAGTCGGAGCCTGGGGGACAATATTGGCCGCGGGCTACTTGGCATAAAGCCAGGAGGCTAGCGTAAAAGATATTTACGAGCATTTCGGGGGTGGCTGCCGGGAATTTAGGGTTGAATTTTTGGTCGCGCCGATGGAGGCAAGATAAGGGAGAAACTGGCTTGAGCGGTGTGTGTCCATTGGTTTGGCAAGGGCAAGCTAGCGGAGATTCTTTAGGAAAGGGCAAGCTAGCAGAGATTCATGGGGAAATTACACTGTATTTAAGGTATGGGTACAAGAAGAATTTTATTCAAATTTGGAAGAATAAAGCCCATCTCTTAGATAGAGCTCCTTCATCGGCTTGGCTTTGCAGACAAACTCGGGCCACTTGTTCCCGTCAGTGCTCTCGAATGGGCTGGAAAAGCATGGAACTTATGGAATGTCGATTGTTCTGTCTGATATTTACGAATTCCTAAGCTTACGTCACGACCCAAGCACCATCGGCGCATTTTTCGAAGCATTCCGGCGGGTAGGCTTGCATCTGAAAAAAAGCTTTATTAGAGAGTGAGGGAGAGAACAAGAGAGACAGAGAAAGAAGGAGAGAGAGCGAGAGAGAGAGAGAGATACCTCGCTACTACTACTTACCAAGATATAATTCCCTTCAGATCCGCTGCCCGAACTGCAGAGCCGAGCCGTAAAGTCCGGAGCCGACCCGTCCGTCCACCACATTGTTTCGTTGCCTAAAAATTTTTTTACACTCAAAATTTACTCACTTGTCTCGTTGACCTGCCCGCCAAGCACCGTCACCCCGTAGAGCCACATGTTTCCGTTACGTTCGCAGGTCGTGTTGTAGGCGAGTTCTAGGCAAGCAATGGGTAGACCAAATGGGACTAAGCCTAAGCCTACGGCTAAGCCTATCGATATGGCTGATTTCCATGGTCAACCTCTGTTAGCCTAAGCCTAAGCCTAAGCCTAAGCCTAAGCCTAAGCCTAAGCCTAAGCCTAAGCCTAAGCCTAAGCCTAAGCCTAAGCCTAAGCGTAAGCCTAAGCCTAAGTCTAAGCCTAAGTCTAAGTCTAAGCCCAAGCCTAAGCATAAGCCTAAGCCGACGACGCCATTGTACCTCTTACAAAGTCGTTCTCCTCCTGACTGTGAATCGATGCGAGATGTCCCCGGTGTTCCTGGCAAAAGTCCTCGGCCTCGTAGTAGGACATCTCTCGGCCGTGCTGAAGCAGAATTCAAAATCAACAAAATTTCAAAAACCCACAAGATAGCACATATCAGTCTTCGCGAAATATTTCCAGCCGTCCTCGCAAACCGCTGAAAAATGGGATTAAAGGCAGTCCTCAGCAAGTTCTTTTTCTTTTTCGAAAGAATCTCTGCAAGGCTACGGCGCCTTGAAAGCGCTTCCGCTTTCCACGCACCATCTGGATCCGGAGTCGTCGTATGTGGCGTGGTTGTCTGCAGCTCAGCAAATCTGCACACAAAAGGGAGCGGGGTGGCGCAGTCGATCGTCCTCCACGCGCGCTCCTCGATATTCAGAGCCACACATCCGCCAGAAGCGGGTTGACCTGAAGAAACTTTTTCAGGTTTCCGCTTAGGCTTAAGCTTGGGCTAAGGCTTAAGGATTAGGCTTAGACTTGGGCTTAGGCTTCGGCGTAAGCTTTCGGCTAAGCATAAGCTTAGGCTAGATCTAGGCTTAGGCTTTGGCTTAGGCTTAGACTTACCTGCGGCCCAATGAAAATACGTAGCATTCGTCCCATCGCGCCAAAGCCACAAGTCGTTGGTGGTATTGTGCTGAAGGCCAAGTAGAATTTGCACGTTTCCGAGCTCTAAAAAGCCCAGGTTTGGAGATGCTCTAGAAAACGTAGGCTAGAAGAACTTCTTCAGGAAAGGACGGCGGTAGCAGAGATTCTTTAAAAAAATTGTTCATCTACCTTTCAACGCATAACTGGCCACGATTGAATTCTCGAATGCATTTTCTACATTCACCAAATGGCCATCATAAAAGTGGCAGAACTGCTCCGCGTCGTCACCCTTGGCAGCTGAAATATCAATTCTGGAAGCAAACCTGCTAGGGTGCCCCCCACCCCGATAATGCAAAAGAAAAAGCTACACGCTAACCACTTACGAAAATTTGCAAAGAAAAAGCAACTGCCGAGGTCGGTGATGAGCAGCGAGTCGGAAGGGCAGTAGCCGAATACCTGGCCAATCAGAAGGGCAAAAATCCAGAAACTCATCGGCCTGGGAATTCGGGAAAATAGAGACGACGCCTTATCAGCATCCGCAAGGTTGGCGCGAGGCGGCTTGCTTGGTCAAGGGCTTTTCCGGTGATTTTTGAAAACTCGGATTTTTAGAGAGACGCGCAAGGCAAGGAAGGGGGCTTATGCTTAGGCTTATGCGTGGGCTTAGCCTGAGGCGGACCGGATTACCAAGACTCCTTTGAAAATAGCTTAGTAGCTGAGTTGCTTTAGGAAACGACGCTTAGAACATTATTCTGCTCATGTACAAATAAAATTGCTAATTAAAACGTGCCCTTTCCAAATGATCCCCGGTGCAGCCGTTTACGTGGTTGACACGATCCGGGCGATGGATCGTGGGCGGAGAGAGGCGCCGAGAGAAATCAACGGCAAGAAGGATTGGGTTTTTGAGGGGCGCCGTAGACAAGTCGCCCCCCTGGGGGATCCGGCTTTCCTTTTCGGAAAATTTCAGAATTTAGTCGCCACACCACGCGGCCGTCAGACGCCTCCAGCATAAGCGTCTGGCATATGACACTCCATCTCTCTCCTTCTCTCTCTCTCTATCTCTCTCTCTCTCTCTCTCTCTCTTTCTCGAGCTCCAGGGAGCTACATGTCCACTTCAGACTTTTGGTTCGGCATTGTTTTGTGGTCTTTGGAGAGTTGGGAGTTCAAAATCCGGTATTTTTCGCTGCAGGCAAGCTAGCAGAGATACATTAGGCAGGGAAAGCTAGCAAAGGCAACAAGACCTATATGAACAGTCCCTTCCAGGAGTCTGGATGCTTGACTGATCCTTTTCAGGGACCAGTTCCCGGTGCGACCCATAAGAGCTTGTGCGTCGCCCAGGGGGATCGGCATATCTCCGCAAGAATTTCTGTCGACCTGATCTTTCCTAAATAATCTCTGCTCAGGGTTTATTTTCAAAATGTCGAAATTTAAAATACCGAAATTCATAATGTCGAAATATATAATGTCGAAATTCCATAATGTCGAAATTTACATAAGCTAGGATTCCCGGTAAAAACCCGGAATCATATGCAAAAATTTTCGACATTCTGAAATTTCGACGTTATGAAATTGCGACATTATGAATTTCGGCATTCCGATAGCAAATCTTCTGCTAGATACCCTCAATGTTTTCGGCACGCTCTCCCGCATTTCCCTAATCACATGCCGGAATTCAGCCGGGTTGGGGCCCACTTTTTGGCTGGCGGCCCCCTAGGGGCCCAGTCAAAAATTCGTATGCCCACCCGGGCCCTACATTTTCGGCAACACGCCCGTTTCGGCGGCCGAGGGATGGCCGGGGAGGGCATTCGACCGGGGGGCGCGTCGCATAAATTATGCATTGTTAGGTGCTGAAAGTTTGACGAGAGCCCCATCCCCGGGACATTGCTCCGCTCATAGGAGCATGCCGTCTCCACCCACCCTCCCCGCATGTTTCCGCCCTTTTAAAGGGACTTGGAACCCAAAGATAACCCCGAGCCTATGCCGATTTCAGACCTTGATCCTCTTGATAACCAAACCTGACATGGAATAAGATCCCGACATTCGAAAGCCCCTCAGATTCCCTGAAAGTCCCCGCGCGGTACAAGTCAATGGGAATGGGTCGCAAAAACTGATGGGGGTGCCCAGTTTTGGGCCCAAGGGCCCAAATCTGGGCCTCCGGCGACACGCAACAGCCCAGTTGGCCCATCCCCCTCCGAGTAAGTGCTCATCAATTTGGGGGGAGCGCGCGTGCTCCCGGGCTATAGAGCCCGAGCCCATCCTCAACGCTCAAGCACTTTTTCGGCTTTAGTGAGCACTGTTTATGGCTCCTTTCTCTCTCTCTCTCTCTCTCTCTCTCTCTCGCTCTCTCTCGATCGCTATTTCTCTCCGTCTCTCCCTCACTCTCGGTCCTTCGGAAAGCCCAGGCTAGCAGAGATCATTCAGGAGCCCTCGCTTGTCTTTGTCAGCCGCCATCCAAAATGTTTTCTGCTAGCCGGCCCTGAATTTTTGATGCCGAATCGGCCGATCCTCCATCGCTCATCCTCATCCACTAGACCCCCGGAAATTGGCCTCATTTATGAGCTTCTTCCTCGTCCTCCCATGCCCTTCGCCAGGGATTCCAAATTGCTACTCCGTGCGCCCACCATAGATCCCCAAAAATATGGCAAATAACTCGGTGTGGCCTCGGCCTAAGCCTAAGCCTCAGCCAAGCCTGCGTCTAAGCCTGGGCCCAAAGCTAAGCTTAAACCTAAACCTAAGCCTAAGCCTAAGCCTCACCCCGCTAACCACAGGAATTTTGGATCGACTTCAGCCCCCTCCTACACAACGCCAAGAGGCGTCGATGTGAATTCAATTTTGCGTCGCCACGAATTTCTTCGGGGATCTATCCCCTTGTCCGCGGCGCTCCTCTAAACGGCGTGTCGGTCCACCGGAAAGAGGCGTAGCTCCCCTCGGCGGGGTCAAATCGAGTTGTTGTCAAGCGGTTTTGTGTCGCCAAGTCCGCTAGGGGGTCTCTTTTTAGTGTATACGGTAGTGTTTTCGAGCTTTTCGAACAGGTTCCAAATGCTCTTTGCTAGCCGGTCTTTCTTACCGAATCGTTGCTAGCTTGTTTTTCTACAAACATCGTTTTTGTTATGTCTGTGTCCCGTGAAATCGCGGCGTAATCGTCGGGTGCAATATGCAAATATATCGATCATTGGCCCCAAGTAAGGTTATCTAGTTGGATCGTGAAGAAACTCTGCTATCTCGCCTATCTCTCAAAATCTCTGCTAGCTTTCGTTTTCCGAAAGAATCGCTGCTAGCTTTCTTTTTCTGAAAAAGCTCTGCCCTTTCCTAACGGTTCTCGATTTCAAGGATCCTAACCGTCTAAAGGATCTCGACTAGTTTGCCCTCCTAAAGGATCGCTGCTAGCTCTCCGTTGATCGTAATTCTTTTGCTCCTTTATCCATCCAGCTTCTGGGTGTCAATGGCAGGCTAGTGGAACCCTCGTACTCCTCAACAAGTGCCCCAATCAGCCACCGCAACCTCGACATCCTCTACCCAGCATTCCGGACGCTAGCAGCTATTCTTGAAGATAGGCAGGCTAGCGGATATTCTTTGGTAAAGGGCAGGCTAGCGGAGAGTCTTTGGGAAAGGGCAGGTCAGCAGAGATTTTTGAGGAAAGGGCAGGCTGGCGGAGATTATTTTGAAAAGTCCCGCCCCTAACAATTCCGCAAACTCAGCGGCGACCTCAACAAAAACAGGACACTCTTCGCGGGCTGTTAATCCAATTATGGCCATCAGCGGGCACGGGCGAGGAAACACCTCTACGCCCTTTCTTTTTTTCCGTCCCCGTTTCTAGCATCCTAAAGAAACTCTGCTACCCTGCCTCTTGTTATTCTCTCGGTTGCTGCGTTTCAAGTCTTCCCTTGTAAAACCAAAAAGCCCATCGAGAAGAGTTGTACCTTATGAACCGCCGGAAGACATAAATTACGAACCTGCGACGAGACGTGGCTGGGGGAATTGAAGTGGCTGCTGCACCACTCGAAATTCAATTCGATTCCATAAGCCCGGGAGGCGGAGGGACCCAGAATCGATGGAAAATCGAGGAGTTAAGGATGGACAGCTTAAAAGGGCGCCCAAGTCTAAACCAGGGTAAAAGCTAGCATTCAAAACCTAAAAAAGCACGCCGCCATCTTGATCAATTCCGCTATATCAGATTATCCCTCTCTTCCGCGCTCTCGCTCTCTCGCTCTCTCGCTCTCTCTCTCTCTCTCTCTCTCTCACCTACTTTTTCCGACCCACCCCCGCATGGTCAACCCGGTGGAACGGCACGGCTCATCCGCTATATCCTATCCGCTTTCGTAATTTTTGGTTTCCGATATGCCCTTAGGCGTCCTTAAAAATCTCTGCTAGCCTCCCCTTTCCAAAGGAATCTATGCTAGCCTGCCCTTTCCTTAATAAGCTCTGCCAACGCGCCGCTCCCTAAAATTTTTAAAACATCGTTTCAGAATTCCGTCCGCCCCCGGCGATGAGTCACCGCTATCGGGACTCACCGCCCAAGCCGAACGTACTTGAAAATAGGTAAGGCTATGGTTTCTCAGAATAAAAACACTGATTATGGCATTTCGACATTGCCGATTGCGAGTTTATGAATTCAGACATTCGTGGATAAGCCCTAAATCTAAGCCTAAGCCCGAAGCATAAGCCTACGCCTTATCCTAAGCCGAACCCTAAACCTAGGCTTAAGCCGACTCCTAAGCCTAAGCCTGAGCATAACCTATGCCTAAGCCTAAGCCTAGGCCCAAGGAAAAACCCATCCAGCTTCCCCCTCCCGGCTCAAGAAAATACACCCAAAAACGGCAAACCCCCATAGACGGCGTCCCCCATATCATGCATTTCGAATGCGCTAAACGGGCACATTTTGGCGACTATGGAAAGGGTCCCGCCACGAAATAACACGCTGTCGGCAGCCCCCATCAAGTCAATTTATTCAATTTAAACGTCCCTTCCAATCGATTACGCCACCTAAACCTTAAATGTTACAATTCGTCACCGTGCCCCTGCTGTGCAGACCCAAATTTCGGGAGAAGAAAAAGTGGGTGATGGGCGAACGAGCAGGAATTTTGTGGGAAGACGTGCTAGCAGAGATTCATCCGGATAGGCAGGCTAGCAAAGAGTTTTTAGGAAAGAGCAGGCTAGAGGAGATTGGTTACAAAAGGCGAGGCTGGCAGAGATTCGCTACGGTCATGCTCACTGATTTTTCCAGTGAGCCCTGCCAATTCTACCAAAAAATCGGTGCCTGCCGCCACGGGGACAAATGCTCGAGGTGAGGAAAACAAGCTTCAAAACTGCTTTGATATTTTAGGGTTCACACTAGGCCGGTGAAGAGCAACACCATCCTCCTGAAGAACCTCTACCGCCAGGCAAAATGCTTTCTTTTTCCTTACGGAGGTATGGCCGTCTTTCCTCTCACTCTCTGGATCTTGTTTTCTCTCTCTCTCTCTCTCTCTCTCATTCTCTCTCTCTCAACTCTTAAT